CTCTAGAGAAAGCATCAAACAATAATAGAAATATTTTGGTAATCGTGGACTATTATACTAAATGGATAGAAGCCGAGGCAACTGAAAATGTAACTTCAAAAGATGTAATAAAATTTTTAATTAATGTATTCTCTCGTCATGGTGTGCCTCAAACAATTACAACTGATAATGGTGTTCAATTCAATTCAGATATAACAAAAATGTTCCTAGATCTTTATGATGTATACGTGAAGTTCAGTACCACTTATCATCCAGAAACGAATGGTCTTACAGAAAACCGAAATAAAGAAATTGGAACACTACTTAGACTTTTTGGAAATAAACAAAAGGAATGGGACGAAGTCTTACCTTCTGCTTTCTGGGCTCTTCGTACAACCAAAAATTCGGTTAATAATCACTCTAGCTTTGAACTTGTTTATGGACGTGAAGACCAACAAACCTTTGACATAGCTGCTAGACCAACTAAAGGCGTAAACAAATCTTCGGATGAAATCCTATTGGAAAAATTTGTCAATCACTACTTATGGATTATGGAAGCTGCGGCCAATATCAGAAATGCAAATAAATACTGGGCTACTCGTAGGAAACAAAAGAATAGTATGAATCAGGCCAAAAAAATAAAACCTGGTGATTTAGTCTTAGTTAGAACCATACTTTGTTGGACCACTCCAAGTAATTAAGATACAATTCAACACAGAAACATTGGCCGATCCTATGTCTAGTATACAAATGAACCGCAATGTTCACTTGAAGAACATAGTCAAGTTTAACTCAGCTTCAGTATAGCTTGAGTTTTAGCGAGAACATCTTGTTAAGGAATGAACAAATAATGTTAATTCTGTTATTTTCCATAAAAATAACTTAACCACTAAAATTAAATTATTTATTTCCTTACTTGGAGAACTTTCATATGTTCTATTACTGCCAAATTATTATTAATGTTCAATTCATTATTGTTAATATCAATTCTTTATCAATATCAATACTTTATTATTAAAGATAATACTATATTATTAACATCAATATTATTATCAATATCTAGTTTTATTAATATGATTTATTCTATCAATATTTTATTATTAAAGAAAATTTTAATAATAAAATATTGATAATAATTTAAAAGTATTTTAGATTATTATTTATTATTAATATTATTATAAATGGGGTATATTTTGGGAGGAAGTATTACTAATTTTAATGACAAGGATCATGGGTTTAAGTAAAATATTTTTAAATCATTATTGATTATATTAATTTTATTAGTAATAAATTATCAGTATTAGTAATATTTGTAAAAAAAAAATTTTCTTTAATAATAAAATATTGATAGAATAAATCAAAAATAATAAAACAAGATATTAATAATAATATTGATATTAATAATATAGTATTATTTTTAATAATAAAGTATTGATATTGATAAAGAATTTATAGGAACAATAATAAATTGAGCATTAGTAATAATTTGGCTGTAATAGAACATAAGAAAGTCCTCAAAGTAAGGAAATAAATAATTTAATTTTAATGGTTAAGTTATTTTATAGAAAATAACAAAATTAACATTATTTATTCATTCCTTAGCATCGATGGTATGATATTTTTTATTTATTGTACTTTTAATATAATTTGGGGAAGCAAGTGTAGAATTATAAAATAATAAATTCTAATAAAAGAAATAAATAAAAATAATTATAACACAAAATTAACAATAATGATGAATTATTTTAATTATTATAACCAATATTATTTATACAATATTTCTAACCTAAATTTCCTGCCTAAATCTTATTTTTATAGAGGTAACATACCATCGATGATACGATATTTTTATTAAACATCAATATCAATATTTATTTTATTTTATTTGGACGATAACAGTAGGGAATAATGGACAAAATAATATATTCTAATATTATATAGAATAATACACACAATAATAATATTCACACTTTAATATTTAGTTTATTTATTTTATTTATTATCATTCATCAATAAAAATACATCATCAATATAAATATTTGTTAATTAGTTAAAATATAATTAAATCATTCAATAAAATATAATTAATTACTAAAATCTCTCATATTATTAATGTAAACTAAATATAAAACTACATAAACTATACTAATAAACATGTTTATAGGTTAAATTATTAATAAACTAAATTAATATTAATAAAAGAACCATTCCTTAAACTATTATTATTTACTAACTATATATATTATTATTAAATTATTATTAACCAATAAGATTTCAGTAAATAATTTCTAACCTAATTTTCACTAAATTATGGTATTTATTATGGTGGTACCGTATCAAAATGCCCCCACTGAAATTAGACTTCGTCCCTTGAAGTCACCAAAATTTAGTTACTTTCATAAATTTTTTTTTTTTTTTTTTTTTTAATAAATTTTTTTTTTATAATAAAATTTTTTTTTATAATAAATTTTTTTTTTTTTTTTTATAATAATTTTTTTTTTTTTTTTTTATATAAAATTTATATAAATATATAATAAATTTTTATAATAATAAATTTTTAAACTATATATAATAAAAATAAATATATTTCAAAATTTTAAATTTTAATTTTTGAAATTTGAGATTTTGAAATTTCAAATTATTTAATTAATTATTATTTATTTTTTTTTTTTGTATTATTTTCCATTCCAAAAACCTTTTTCTTTAAACCTACTGTGTTACGTATAATATTATAATTATTATTTTCATTAACATTATTATTCTTATTACTATTTATAAATATTGAATTAGTATTTATCCTTTCAAAATTTTTATTACTATAGTCAAAATTCTTATTTTCATTAGAAGTAAAAATCACCTTTTCCTTAACTCCAGGTTTATTAATATTATAATTGAAATTACTAATTTGGTTTTCTATATTCTTTTCATAAGTAATCATATCATTTTTATTGTTAAAATTATTATTACTGTTATTATTATTATTATTGTAATTATCATTGTTGTAATTATTGTTGTTGGCATTAATATTGTAATTATTATTGTAATTATTTCTATAAGAATTCGTGTAACTGTTATTTCTATCATTATAATTATTATTATTGTTGTTGTTGTTGTTGTTTTCACCTCTACAATTATTATTAATATCATTGTTACTATTATTATTTATTCTGTAATTATAATTATTATTATTATTATTACCAAGATTATTATACCAATTTCTATGTTTAATATTTTTAGTCCAATAAAAATTTTTATTGCTATCATAATTATTATTGAATTCATATCTTGGAATGTTCAACTTATTATTTCAATAATTATTATTAATACTCATGTAATTATTTAAATTATTCTTTTTATTTATATTAATATTATTTTGTTTATTATTCCAATTACAAACATTACCAGAATAATTCCCATTATTATTATAATAATAATTATTGCCTTTTTTACCATTTAATTTATAATTATTTTTATTATATGAAAATATTTTTTTCTTATTAAAATTTTTCCTATAATTACTTCTTTTATTCTTTTCTATTATTCCTTTTTCTTCCATTATTGACAATTCTTTAAATGAATATTTACAATTGAATGCTTTGTGGCCTAATTCATAACATCTAAAGCACATTATTTTATTATTTTTCTTATTAATATTATTATTATAATCATTTATATAATCATTTTTATAATTTTGTTTATAATTATTAAAATCTATTTTGAATTTTAATTTCTTTTCAATTCTACTGGCCTTTTCCGCGATTTTAATTGCTTCTTCAATATTTTCACATTCCTGTTCTAATACCCTTAAACATGGATATATTCTTGGCTTAATTGAGTTTATATAATCTTCAACTGTAATTAATTTTCTCATTTCTTCATCAATATTTTTAAATTTTCTTATATAATTAATATTAAATGTAGGAATTGATTCATTTGTTTTAATTTTCATTTCTTTTAATTCCCAAATTTTATCATTTTGAGTAATTCCCAAATATTTTTCAATTTCTTCTATAATAATTTGAGTTGATAGATTGGTTTGATTTTCTTCTATACTTTTTAGAACTTCTTTAAGAGCATAATCCACACATTCTTTCATAAAGACAAGTCTTCTTTTAGGATTTTGGATATCCCATAGATCCATAACTTCTTCAAAATCATATATCCATAAGTCTACATCTTTACCATAATTTTTCAATGATGGTAAACTTCTTAACAACTTATAGATATCCATTTTAATTAATTATTTATTTATTATTAAATATACTTTTTTGTTTACTATTATCAATTATACAATATTTTTATTTTACTTTTATTTTATTATTATTTTTTTTTTTTCACATATATATTAAACTTATTTTATTATTTATTATTATGCATTATTATTATTCTATAAATATTATTTTCATATTATTTTGTTACTGTCACGCCCGGATTCTCCACCAATTTTGGTACGTTATCTTTATATATTGTACCTTTTATATGATTTGGGGAAAGCAAGTTGTAAAACTATAAAATAATATATTCTAATAAAAGAAATAAATAAAAAAAATTATAACACAAAATTAATAATAAATTTTTAATAAATAATAATGTGTTACTTTTAAGTCTTTATTTTATTTATAAGTTTTGTTCTTTAAATAAGTACATTTAATTTTATTATAACTTTATTATATCTTTAAATTTATATTTTAATAATAATATTAACCAAAATATCCTAAAATTTATTCACCCTAATAAATATTTTATAATTCCTATTCTAACTATTATATTCTTTAAAGATATTAGATTATTAAGTTCCTCCTTTGTTAATATTTTATCTTTCACTTATTTTTATACTATAATTTATCTTAATTCTTATTGGTTATCTATTAATTAAAATTATTTTTATTAATATTATAATTTTATATACTAATTAAACCTTATACCTATTATAATAAAATAACTAAAGAATTATTTATTTTCTTATATTTTTAATAATTTATTCTATTTTAGTGAGTAACGTACCATCAAAGAATCAAGGAGCTCCTGTAGCCTAGTGGTTTAAGGCGTCGTGCTTATAAGGGTGATCCTCTTATGCAACGCGAAGATCGCGGGTTCGACCCCCGCCAGGAGCAATGGTTATTTTTCTTCATAATTTTAAAAAAAAATTTTTTTTTTTTTTTTTTTTCAATTTATATTAATTAATAATAATAAATAATAATTATAATAATAATATTAATATTAATTTTTTTTTTATTTTATTTTATTTTATTTGTATTTTTTTTAGACTTGGAAGAAAATATGCACTTCCAGTGCTTTATGAAATAAATAATTATGCTTTTATGTTTTTATATATAAAGAAAAAAAAAAATAACATTATATAATTTAACGGTAATAATAAAATGCATATAAAAGATTATATTATATAATTTAAAGATAAAATAAAATGTATATAAATGATTAACATAAAAAAAAAAAAAAAAAAAAAAAAAAAAAAAGATCTTAATTAATCATAGAATATTTAATGTAATAATAATGAATAAAAATAAGTTCAAAAGTTTAAAAAAATTTCGGTGTGATATATACTGGGTGTAAGTAACATGATCACATTTACCATTTAATCTAAAATAATAATAAAATAAAGAAGTAATATCTTTATAATAGATAGTGTGGTACTAAACTCTTCCAATGAAAATACGAAAAAAGATTCTCAATAAGAGTATTACTCTCTATTCAGATTCTGTTAGCGGAACTAGACTGTTTGTATTTGTTGTTTGAAATATATATAATAGGACTTACTAATAGTACTGTTCATAGGCCATGCTGGTACGATATCGGTACTCTCTTGGTACTGAAGGATTTCTTACTAAATTGATCTTCATAAGCATAGTAATTTATAAAATTTAGAGGCTTAATAACCATGATAACACATTTATTAATATATTAAAAAATTACTCCAATACTGTATCGTAGTACATATGCATTATGTTATTATAATTTATTAAATTAAATATCTTTTTTAATTTAAAGAATAAAAAAAAAAAAAAAAAAAAAAAAAAAAAAAAAAAAATTAATAAATAAAATAAAAAATAAAAAGGTAATAATTTTTAAAAAAATCAATATAACAATATGAAAAAAGTATTACATAAAAAAATATATTGTCATTACATATATATATATATATATATTTATTTGTTTGTTTATTTATTTAATAGTTAATTAATATTATTGAATAGTAAAATTTTATTATTTAACTTTTACGTTTGCTATTTTTTTTACTTTTTTTTTTTTTTTTTTTTTTTTTTTTTTTTTTTTTTTTTGATTTTATTTAATAATAAAACATACTTTATTTAATTATAAATCTTTAATTTAAATCTTTTAGTTAAAATTTTAAAGAAATTTAATTAAATAAAGAGCTAAACTATTTCAATAAATTGTTTTTAATTCTTTGTTTTGTTTTTATTTTTGTTGATTCATTTTTTTTTATTTGTTTACCTTTTTTTTTTTATAAAAAAAAAAAAAGAAAGAAAGAAAAAAAGAAAAAAAAAACCAAAAAAAAAAAAAAAATAAAAATAAAAAATAAAAAATAAAATGATATTTGTATACATATGAATAAAATGGGATGTTAAACTAGTTTTATAATTTGTATTTAAAAATTAAAGATTTGAATGCACAAACTAATTTTTTATATTGAAATATATTTTTTATTTAATTTATTTTTATTTTTTAAAAATATTTATATGTATTTAAAACTGTTAATTTGTCTATATTAATAGAATATTTTAAATAATATTATTGATATTGATAAAAAAATATGATATTTTTATAATAATAAAAAAGAAAAAAAAAGGTGTTTTTTTTTTTTTTCTTTTTTAAAAATTTAAAAATGATAATTTTTTTTTAAAAAAAAAATAATAAAATAAATAATAATGAAATTTGTTTATGCTTTCAATTTCTTTATTAATATCAACGGTTATATAATTGATAATAATTTATTTTCTTTTTTCTTTTCTTTAGTTTTTTTTTTTTATATATATATATATAATATTTTTATAAATTTGCTAATATTTGGTTATTACAATTTATAAAAATATAATTTTTTTTATTTTTTTATTTTATTTTATTTTATTTTATTTTAAAAACATATGATTTATTATATCCAATTTTGTATTTTTTAATATTAAATACTATTAATTTTGTTTTTAAAGTTGATTATAGTATTAATAATAAAATAGTATATGTATTTTTTAATTATTTCTGAAATAAATATTAATAATTATTGATTAGTTCTAGTTAATATTATTTAAATCTATCAACTCTAAAAATAAAATTAATTATTTAACTTTTGTTAAGCTTTCTCATTTTTTTTATTTTCTTAAATTTCATTTTTAATAATATACTTACAAAAAGTATTTATTTTTTTCTATTTTTAAAATAAAAATGTGAAAGACTTCGGCATTGATATAATAATCATATAAAACCATTTTTGGTTATTTTTAACTTAAATAATTCCTTAGTTCAATCTATATTGGTATATTCCTAAAAATGACGAATTGATAGATTGACTAATTTTTTAATGCTTTTGTTTTTGCTCTTTTTATTTTTTATTTTTATTTTTTATTTTTTTTTTTTTATTTTTTTTTTTTATTTTTTTTTTTTTTGAATTATTTTTACTTTAATTTTTTTTTGGTTTTGTTTTATTTTGTTTTGTATTATTTTGTTTTGTTTTATTATTATTTTCTTGATTTTTTATTTTGCTGATTATAATTTTTTCTGTTTTAATTTTAATTTGATTATTACTTTTTTTTATTAAAAAAAAAAAAAAACTGAAATTAAATATTGAATATTTTAATTAATATTAAAGAAAAAAGTTAGGTATTTACAAAGAAAAAAAAGTTATTTTTAAAATTGAATATTAATTAATAATTAATAATTTGAAAATTAATGTTCTTTTGTAGCTGGATCCTTCATAACACATCCAAAGAATACTCTAAACTATTTTACAATTAAATTTATAATTATACCATAAAAATAATAATACATATTAATATATCAAATCTTTTAATTTTAAAATATAAATATTTTTATAAAACATAAATATAGATTTAATATTTACCATTTTATTTTCCTTTATTTTTACTTTAATATTCTTCTTATTCTTTGCTTTTTCATTCTTTCTAATTTCCTTTTTTCCTTTCTTAATCTTCATTTTATCCTTCTTATCCTTCTTTTGTTTTCTTTTTCTTAACATACCTACTTCTTCTTCCATAGTAGTAATTTCAGACTCCTTGGAATCATCTTGTTCCTTCATTTCAACATCTTCGGTAATATTGTCAGATTTTACTTGTTCTTCTTCTACATCGGTTTTTTCTTCTTTAACTTTCACGGATTCTTTTTCAGTTTCAATAGTTGAATTTGATGAATTATCCTTAACTTCATCATCTACTTCAATAAGATCTTCCTTTTCTAATTTGATAGTGCTTGGAGATTCAACTTTATCTTCATCCCTTACTTTATCTTCCTTAATTTCTTCAACCTCTATAATAGCAACTTCAGGTACAGAAGCAACTTCTTCCTTAACTTCTACCTTTTCATTAGCAGATTCTGGAACGGTTACTTCTTCCTTAGTTTCTTCTTCCTTAGTTTCTTCAACCTTTTCAGTAACAGGTTCTGGAACAGTAACTTCTTCCTTAGTTTCTTCAACCTTTTCAGTAACAGTTTCTGGAACAGTAACTTCTTCTTTAGTTTCTTCAACCTTTTCAGTAACAGTTTCTGGAACAGTAACTTCTTCCATAGCTACTTCAACCTTTTCAGTAACAGTTTCTGGAACAGTAACTTCTTCCTTAGCTACTTCAACCTTTTCAGTAACAGTTTCTGGAACAGTAACTTCTTCCTTAGCTACTTCAACCTTTTCAGTAACAGTTTCTGGAACAGTAACTTCTTCCTTAGCTTCTTCAACCTTTTCAGTAACAGTTTCTGGAACAATAATTTCTTCCTTAACTTCTTCAACAGTTTCTGAATTAGCTATTTCTTCCTTCGCTTTTTCAATCTTTTCGGTTTCAACAACAACTTCTGAAACATTAACTTCTTCAACCATGTCAAGGACAGTTTCCTTAGGAGAAATATGTTCTTCAGCCTTTTCTGCAACAACCTCTTGAAGTTGATCTTTCATTTCTTCTAATGGAGCAAATTCTTCTTGCTGAATTTCATTAATTAATTTTTCAATTTGTTTTTCAGCAATTTGTCTTTCTTTCTCAATTTTTCTTTGATCTTCTTTATTATTTAATGTTTCATCAATTTCCATTGGATCATCTTCAACGTCCATTGGATCATTATCTTGGTCCTTTGTAACTTCCATTGAAAGTTCCTGTTGTGCATCTAAAAATTCTTGTTCACTTGATGTCTGGCTAATAGACTGTTGTTTTTCAACTTCTGGAACGACACTATCAACAATAACATTATTAGTTTCATTTGGAACTACTGCATCCTTTGAGGCATCTTGATTTTGAATATATTCAGTTTTATCCAATGAGATATCTACATTTTCACTACATGAAGCATTTCTAGCATCATAAACTTCAGTATGTTCGGTTTCATCATTATTGTTTTGTGGAACTTTTGGTGGGTATTCTGGTACCTTTCCTTCTTGAGCACTTTCAATTTCAGAATTACTACCTTCAAGGTATGAATTATCATACATATAACCTAATTTCATTGATTCATTTATTCTCTTTCTACCATATGAACTATTGCGAAGCCATCTATGATTTATAACTTTATCCATAGACCATCTCTTTTCTGGATCTGGTATAAGCATACCACAAACCAATTCTTGAGCATCTTCGCTTACATAATCTGGGAAAGTTAATTGAGATTCTAAAATATATTTATATAACAAATCAAGATTTTCACCATCTGGATTATTTGGATCATCATCAAATGGTAAATATCCACAAAGCATGGCATAAAGAATAATTCCACAACTCCAAATATCAGCAGCTTCACCAATATAATTATCGTTGATAACTAACTCTGGAGCGGCATAACATGGACTACCACAAGATGTAGATAATAAACCTGATGGGTTTTTACGAGAATTGTTAGCAAAACCAAAATCGGTAATAATAATATCACC